GAGAAGACTGTTATTACTATTTTGGCAAGGTCTCAGCAGCAGAGAGTGTTACAGGGAGAAAGTACCCAGTAACCAGGTTTTATGCCCGATAAAGAAAGTACCATTAGAAGTTTGCGCTTGCTGACAGGTTTATGTCTCCCAGTTCAACGTGCACTTCTTTACCTTCCTGTCAGGGTGCCGCAGGGGCCAGGGCTCCCTGGGCCCCCCAGGGCAGAAGGCAATGCCTGCAGCCCAGACCTGTCCCACCCCACACCCAGGGATCTGGGCAGCCCCAGCCCTCAGCACGTCCCTGGGGATGGAGACAGGCCAAGGCCAGGACGGGACATGGGCCCATGGGCAGGGATCCCAACCGCCGAGGTCCATGGCCAGGCAGGGCCTGATGGCCTTGGGGGGCTGAAATGGGGTCCTGGGCCATGGGCCTGGTCGGAGAGGCCCATGGGAAGCTGGTCTGGGCCATAAGCGTGGCTGGTGCCTCCAGGTCCTAATGCTTGAGGTACCTTATGTGCTCTAGGTGAACGATGTAGTCACCTAATGATGATGCTGGGTGAAGGGCTTTGCTGCTCTGCAAGTTATGGGAGCTACAGCTTCCACAAAGCTTGCTTGTGTCAGGCTGAAGACCCCTGACTCTTGACGTAACACATAACAGCACATAACAGCAAGGGGTGGGGGTGAAGGCAATCAGGCTTCATCTAAAATGCAACATGTTAGAATCAAGTCCCCTTCTGCTTTGGGTTTGGTTATTGCAGGTCCTGGAACAACTGGGCCCCAAACCCCATCAGGTAATGAGTGGGCACTAAAATCATCCCATCCCCATTTTGCTGGTGACTGGCTGTGCCTCATACAGACATGCCGTATGAGACATGTCTCTTCCACCAGTTTCTGGTTCACAGAGCATGCGATAGGAAGGAGCATGGAGCATGCACCTTCTTTGGTGCTCAGTACTGTTTTAGGAGTCAGTTCCTTACTTTGAGCTATCACAGTGCCCAGCCCCACAACAGCTTTGGTCCATTGTGGATGGAGCCAGTTATTCCTGAAAAGTGTCAATATAAATGGTTCTGATCTAGAAGACAAACAATCCAGTGCTGGAAATTAAATGTTAGGAGTATATATATATATATTCATATCTTTTAATTATACACACACACACACAATTTTAAAAATAGAAAAGTTAGGATTCATTTCATCCAGTTTTAGACATCTATAGCTTAAATAATTGTATTTGACCTAGTCACTGCTCAGGTCCCAGTCAACAGAGGAAGGCAGGCACCTCCAGGGCATGACTCATCTGACCTGTTTTTAGATGTCTACCTAAGATGACAGAGATCCTGTCCTCTGAAGGACTGTTTCTCTCCCCCACTGACTGAAGGACATCCAAAGATGATGAGCTTGGATGCAGACATAGACCCTTAGGGGCATCTCACTCCCAGTAACCAAGGAAGGAAGATCAACATACCCAAATCCCTCTGCGTCAGAAATATTCACACCTACCCACACATGAACACACAGAGCCCTGGGAGCCAGTTAAAAGACCTGTTATAGTAAAATTGACACCTGTGAGCAGAGAGTTTATTAAATCAACTTAAGTTGTCACTTATAAACAATGTTATTTTTAACATCTTTATCCCATAACATTCCACCAGCACAGTTGAGTCAGTTCTGTTACAGATATAGCTGAAGCCTTTGTTTTCTGAAGCATCTAGCCAAAGTCCACTGCTCAGGGATCTCTGGGTGAGGAGAAACATGATGGACCTCCTCTCCTAAATACATAAACTGAATACATTGAGCTGGAGCTGTCATGAATGCCACAAATTATGCTGCTGCTGGAGTTGCATCCCTGTACTCCCTGGAGTAAAGCCCAGGAGTGTGTTGCACAGCAGTGAGCTCTGCAGGAACCCAGTGGGAAAAACTGGCCAAGATTGCCTCTGGTCTATCCCTCACTGGGAAAGTGGCACTAGCAAAGGCTCGGGTACCCATCTTCTGCTGTGTCCATTGCATCTAGCAACTTTACATTTAACTGTCATAGTGATATTTTGCACCAAATTCTTAAATTAGGAGATGTTTACCTCTGATGTAGCAGCTGAAATAAAGACATCAGGACTCAAACATTTAATACATGATGGTTTTGCTCACAGCTGTAACAGGAAACAGTAATTGCTATAACTAAGCAGTGGCCCGTTGGCAAAAGTTTGGTGGTTGCTGTTTAAACCTACGTACCTGCCTTATCTTCAAACCCTTGAAGCAAACTCTGGATTACCCCTTTCTGAGGTTAGGTAAGGATAAACGTTATAACAAGTACTTTATATATATTCAGTTCTCTTCTATATTTGGTCAAATGTTATATTCTGTGTTACAATTGCAATAACTATTTATACAGATGCCCGCAACAGCAGCTGCTAATTGTCCAGCCATTGACTCATGCCTCAGCTGTCTCACTGTGGTAAGTATATTCTGCATACACTTCACATACTCTTGTGCTAGTGAAAAATTGGGTATGCTGGGATGTTATATGGAACTTTGCGTCAGTGGAAAGGCTCATTATATTCATTTTGGATAATGCCTCGTCTCTGACGTTAAGAACAAATAGATGGGATTTTTCTGTGCAGTAGAGAAGCTGCATTACCGAGAAAGCTGTCCTTTGAGAATCAGTAAGGTCTCTGTGACCCTGGTTACCCTGACAGATTTGGCTCAGGTTTGCTTCATCTTCCCCAATTGTAATTCATGACCCAAGGCAATGATCCATCAAGCCAGATAACATTACTTGGAGCTTACGATGGCAAAGGAGGGACAGCATTTCCTGCCACCAGTGAACAAGAAAACTCTATCATTACTTAATATAAGTTATCACAGTAGAAGAGGAGAGCTTACACAAGAAAAAGATAGATGTTGCAGGAAATATTAAAGAGCTGCAGTCTTTGGTGTCTCACAGGGGTTGGGGACCCCTGTGACAGAGCATAGCAACAAATCTGAAATCCTTGTGAGTGCAGTCCTGACCCTACTGAAGCCATAAGCAAAGCTCTGGATTCAGTTTATGGTTGAATCACTACCTTATTAGTGAGTGGCAGATGATGTCGTCACTCTATGCCATAATGGTCAATTGTAAAATAGACACTATGGGAGTTATCTCCATCAGCAAGAGAGAACAACGCAAGTCTTTACACGAGCGCTCGTATAGCACACAACTACTTTGAGACCAGTGGTGCTGGAGAAATGGGGGCAGCCTCGGAGGCCTCAGCTGCCTTCTGTTTACCAGGAAATAAATTCATCTGGCAATTTATCATGTTGAGAAGTGTCAGGGGGAAAAAATTCCTCCTATCAGAAACATTGCTAGACAGTCACACTGGAATCAGAGTCCTGTAATGAAAAGCTAGTATTGAAGTTAGAGGGTCAGGAGGAAGAAATCTTCATTGCTTGTTGAGGGCAGAGGGCATACATAGCCATTCTGAGTGATTATTCCCCCCCAGAATGCAACCAGCAAGAAGAAATAAGGGCACTAAAAACAATCTGGGGACAATCAAATTTGCAATCTTCTCCCAGACCATCACCAGTATATTAGTATATATCTTCAGTTGGAGGAAAGAGCTATAGAATTACGAAGGCAAACCTATCTCAGTTTTTTACAATAATTCTTACTACATATTTTAAGCAAGAAAACATAATGCTTTATTGTATTTACTAGAAGGATTAATTGCTTCTTTTCCTTGAGCTCCATCCATTTGAAGACTAACTGCTGATTTAGAGAGCTTGGCAACATTCCAAATACAGGGGTCTGATACCTCCTTGGAAGAAAAATAATCATTTCACCTCCAGCTCACTCCCAGCTCCCAAGTGACTCTGCTCAGTCCCTGGTGAGGTGTGACACTTACATACAGGGCAGGTTATTCATCAATGGGCACTTCCCATGCTTTTTTCCTAATTGTCATTGTTCTGCTGACTACTGGTGAAAGAGACTTTCAGCTTTCCCACTCTTGGAAGGCAGATTTCTAATCCTCAGTTTTGCAAAATTCCAGGTGTTGAAGGGGAAATTCTAACTGTAACTGCTCAGCAGTGGTAATTTGTGACCGAGGAGTGATCTGGCATGGAGGGCAAGAAGGCCCAGCTACAAGAAGGGGTTAAATTGTCTGGAAGTAGAAATTCCAGAGAAAGAACAGCTCTTTGCAAGGGAGTGAAGTTTCGCTTGGTGATGAGATAAGAAACAGCCTCAGCATTGTCTTGTAGCCATCTTGGAATGGAAGCGCACAGAGCCCAAGGGCTATCTTTGGGCAGCAGAGCTGGGCTGAGGGATGGACCCACAGCTGCGCTGAGGTGCCCCATGCAATTGCTCTCAGGATAGGGGCTGGTGCAAGTGTATTTAAGGAATCTGCTTGTGACGAATCTTTGCAGACTCCACAAAGAACCACATAATGGTGGTAGGACTCTCCCCAGTGCATTGTTCATTAATTTTTTTCTTTTATATTTAAGAACAAATGCGTTTAACTCACCTCAAGAGGTACCATAAAAATTCCCCAACAGTGTCTAAGGCTCAAAACCAGCAAACCAACACAGAAAACAAACATTTACTCCCTTCAAGTACTCTGATTTAAAACCGCATGGTTTTGAAGACTTCACTCAACCGTTGCATATTTGTACTTTTCAGTATTTTTATTTCTCCCTGAATTTATACCATGAGGGCTCAGACAGGTAGCCTCCTTCATGACTCCATTAGGTGTCAGAGGGAACGTGCAATGCTGCTGAAGTCTGCCTGCCTGGATGATACAGCTGGTACTCAGCCAGCAAGGCACCCAGGGTGCACAGCAGGCACAAGTGCAGAAACAGAGCAACAAGTGTCTGGGGACAAGTCTCATCCAGCACCAGGGGAGACCAGAGGCAATGCTCCCCTTTCTCCCTTCCCACCCACTCCGCTTCCTCCCTCTGTACATCCACAGAGTTACCAGCAGTGAAAGCAGTCCCTATACCCCAGCCCAGTGCCACCCTTCTCTGAAAAATCTGTTAAGTGAGCTCTATTTTTTTTTATCCTTTGTTTTTGATCTACTTGTCCGTTCATAACCAGCCGAGTTTTCCCCAGGATGGCTCAGCCTGCGCAAGGTGGGATGGTCGTGGTGGCTGCCAGGAGATCTGACTGGTTACACCCGGCAGCTCCCCGGTTCCAGCACCTCCAGTTTGATGCCAGCGCACTTCATTGCTGCCAGAGTGCAATGACTGACTGTCCTCCTCCTCCCTGTTGACTCCATATGGATGCAGTGAAGGTGGCTGTCTCCTTTGGGGCACTGGTAAGGCATCAGACAGGAGCACTGGGTCTGTGTTTCTGTGAATGAACATGTTGAAATTTTAGCTGCAAATGTCATGACTACAAACATCTATTATAGTTTGAGAACATTTCAAAGTTCAACAGGGAAAAACACTATTGGAGGTTTGTGATACGTTAGTTACAAAAAGCCTATAGCACATATGCTAGATAGTACGGTATTAAGAATAGAGATTAAAGCAGCTTTAAATATCTTTTTTTTTGCAGCAGCGGCCCATGCAGAAGCAAAATGAAGTATCATCTAACTATTTTTATCCACTGGCTTTCCCTGACCTTTCTTCTAAACAAAAAGATATTAAGTTGACTTTCTGTTCCCAATTATCCTTGCACACAGTGATGCTGTGAAATGGAGGCTTAAGGTCCATATTGTGTCAGCTCCTATTTCATTAAAGCTCCCTTTATGAATGCTAAGCTACCTGCTGCTGGCCTGTGGTAAAGCTCAGTCCTGCCAGTTATTTCATTACCCATTTCTGATCTAATCAGATTCTGACTCTCTGTATCCTTTCCCAGAAATTCCCTGGGTAGAAAACTAAGTTTCTGCCTTCACTTTCTTAAAACATATGAAAAAATTGTGTTTTCCTCCATTTAGCTGCTTTCACCTGGTACTGCAGGATCTTCTGCCTCTGTGTTGATACCAACTACTAATTCTCAGGAAAACCAAAACTTTCCTTTCTTAAATGTTTGTGCATACTCATGAGAAAGAAGACTTTTGTGGAGATAGAGAGGAGGAAAGTTCGATTCAAACCTCTTGAGCACCAAAATGAAAAACTTATTTAATGTATTTTTCTCCTCTTTCTCTCATTTTTCCTCACTGAACAGGGCTGCTCTGTAGGCTTTTGAGAGGAAAACACTGAAATGCTGGCACAGGATCCAACTTTAAGACAGTACCACAGTGGGAGCAGACCTAGGTTTCTTAGAGACTCTGGAATAAATAAACCAAATTTATTTGGGTTTTTTTTTTAGTTATAACCACCTGCCCAGCAGGTGTCTAGAGGCTCCAACACAGCATGTCCCTCAAGGGGCACACCTGGTCGTGCCCTCTGCTTCAGCCCCACAAGGAACAACGTCTCAGGTGGTAATTTTACAGCCACCTGCTTGAAATCCTGTGCTGCAGATATCTTGCATCTTCAAAACAGGGTTTTAGGACTGCTGCACTCTGCTGTTGCTTTATTTATCATAAGTAGACAAGGTGTGATAAGGATCATATTTGTCTCTGGAAGCAAGTGGAGGAATGAGCGTGGCTGCCACTCAGCCTTTTCCTGGCAAGCACTTGATGTGTGCGGAGCCAGCCAGCACCTCAGACATTTACAGGAAAACCCACTGCTCTTATCACCAAGTTACACAGTAAGTAGCCAAGTTGCGCAAGTGTTCATAAAATAATCCTCTTAGGGATTTCACCAGCTTAGCTAATTCATTAAAACTCTTAATAAATACAGTTTTCACATGTGAGTGTTTACAAATTTTACCATTAAAATCCCATTAAACCTGATGACCCCAGTCTTGCTTTTTAAGTACTATCATGATTTAATAATTTAATTATATGCTATAGAGGGTGTGGCTCAAATTAACTTCTGAAGTACAAACTAGTGGTTATAGTAACCTCACAGGGAGTGGGCGATAACATTGCAAACTACGTTTCTGTGATTAAAGATTCAAATGTTAATTCTCCTGAAAAAGTTCCCTTAATCTCCAAGTTTCATTTGTGGGAAGTGGCAATGATACACCACTTGTGCCTTTCCTAAAGGAAAAGACACATATCTAAGTGTAACACTTGGTAGCAGGGACACAGGACCGACCACACTTCCACACTCTCTCACCAAGTTGCTCAGATGGACCACAATGCCTGTAATTCCCATGCTCAGAGCAGTGAAGGAGTCAGCACATTTTATTTTTATATCCAAAGGGTTGGATAAATCACACCATTCAGAAGTCATACCTGGACACTCCTCCCAGTCATAGCAAGTGTCATAGCCACAAGGCACTTTCTTCAAGCTATTTGTAGAGAGCTTTGCCCTTTCAATAGCCCAGTTTAGGTTGGAATCACCATGGCAAGGGCCAGCATGCAAGAAATGAAATGACTGCTCTCCAAGGCACATTTCAGCTGAGTACTGACAGCTGGCCTTGGTCACATTCTGTTCAGAAACAGCATGTAGCACACAGATGTCTTCTGAGTAGTGGCTGCCCAAGGAAAAAAGAAAAATTATTTTAGCAGGCTGTGGAATAAGTCCATGCTTCTAAATGCTCCACTGGCATTGGATGAAACACAGCAAAACAATGGCCAGGCTGGATATCTGTTTAAAGACCTAAGGCTGTCCCAGCTACTGCAGGACCTGGGCCGGATACAGCATTGTGCTACGAGATGAGGAAACTTGTGTCTTGTCCAACAGATGGAGGTGAAGGACGTGTGCCTGCACAAGAAAACAGCAGATGCTGTTACCTCCGCAAGGCATGGGAAATTTCCACAGGCCCTGAGCTGGCTTGACAGAGTTAATGCAGCCCTGCGGCTCTGTGTGTGCAAGACTGCCTCTGGTGCACGATTAGCGTGGGACCAATGGCAGGCAAACCCAGCCATGCTGCCTGTAGTTTCTTTCCGTATTGCTTTTCGTTCCTGAGTGAATTTGTTCTCAGCAAGTGCAGGCATTTCCAAGCAGCATAATTTTGTGGAGCTTAGTTATTTCCCAAAGAGAGATAGCAATACAGCTCACTTTGTCTAGCCTCCTGAGTTAAGCTTATAGCTTTAGTCAACAAAACCTCTCTAGTTTTCAGAGGATTTGTCCTGTATACTTTTTACAATGTCTATCACCCTCCGAACAAGCTCTCTTTCTACCCAAGGACTCTTGAAGGAGAGAAGATACCTAGTTATTTGGGCACTGACATGAATGAGATGAATCCCATGCCACGGGACTTGCCTGTGGTCACACAGGAGGCCTGTGGTGGAATGCGCATTGATCTCAACCCTACAACAGCTCAACTCATATTCAGTCTGTGGTCATCTTCCCTGTCTCCAGCCCCACAACACACCTCCACCCTGGCTAGTCATTTACTAAAAGTCCTCTAGGATAACCCTCTATTCACTTGAAGGCTCAATGGCCTGTGCAGGTCATGTTGTGTAAAGAGACAGTAAACCCAAGTCTTATGTACTTTTATACACTTTGGAGACTGAAACATACAGTGTATTTTGCAGCATGTTCATCTGAAAAACGTGAATCTCAAACACAAGGAGCATGACCTATTATAGCAAGGTGATGACAGTGAAAAGGCAGATATTGGAGGAATAAAAAGAAGAATAGTTAGGATCTCTAGTAGCAGATGGTAATGTAGATTAGAAGGATGCACTCTGATGTGCCATTTGGTTAATGTCATTGTTCATTTATTTCATACAGGGGCATAGCTGGCTAATATCTGAACAGAGAGTATCCCTGAATTGCTGTTGTCATTTGTTACTCTGCCTGTTATGTGTCACAGTGGTCTTGGTCTATCAATGGAGAAACTTCAACTTTTCTTTTTCTAATGAAAGTACTTAACTTACCCACAATCTTCTTCTGGAGCCATACAAACACACTGAGATCCAACCTGCTTTTGTCCTGGATTGCAAACACCTCTAATTTTAGTTTGCACATCTGAAACAAGAGTGTGAGAGTTATTGTAACTAGTAACAAAGTGAACAGAAATATCTTAGACTTATGCCATAAAATCTAAAATGGATTTATTTCAGTTTATCCCATATTTCTCTCTTCAAAAGCTGCTGTCATTATGTTTCCACAAGTATGCATCAGTCTTTGGAAAAACCACTGGAAGATCCTGTACAAGAAGAGAAACTGAAGTGTCAATAGAATGGAATCTCCTACTTTACCTTCATAAAGCCTTGTTAATACAGCAGGGGTTTGTTTTGTTTTTAAAAAACAGCTTCAATATCTCAATTTCATAATTTAATTGTACAGTACATTGCACCCAAAAATTCTGAATGCAGAAGTTTGGGACTGAAATTATGTGGCACTGTGATAAGGACAAAGTAAAACCAAACTTAATGAACAGTGGCAATACGCTTTAACACCAGTCATCTGCCTCCTGGCTAAACTAAGTTGTGCTGTTAATAGCGGCAGTATAGAAACAGTAAAGTTCCTGCAGGCATACTAACCTTTTTCACATGTAATAGATCTCAAAATAGGAGGTATCCAGGACAGGTCTTTCCCACAGGTATACTGTGTTTGACCAGTGACTATAAATCCAGCTTGGCAGCTCAGCTTCATGGTTTCACCAATGGTGTACTGTTGTTTAAATGGGGAAATTGTGACACTGTCAGATGTAGGTGGCCTGAGGCATACTGAGGCTGTAATAAATGAGAAAAAAGTATAATTCTTGCTCATTTTATGGTGTGTGAATATTTCCAACAAGTCATAATGCTTCATCTGAAGAGCCATAAAGACACTCAATAACACTGAACATTTGACTGACGTTCGAAACTAATAAATATTTAAAATAATTAAGTTAGAAACTTTAAGTGCACTGTCATAGTCTTTAAAAATACTTTTCAATCAATAACTAAATAATTACAATGTGTTTCTAATGCATGCTAATATGAGTAATTTAATTTTACAGTTTAAAAATAATAAGAAAGGCATTAGCAGCATTTTTTAATTTTTCTTCTGTAAATGAAGCTATTAATAAAAAATTAAAATGAATGTCAATAGAAAGCTGGTAAGTATATTCAGGTAAATTTTTTTGATAAAATGAACACTAAGTCAATGAAATCACACTGAGTTCTAGAAAACTACTGGAATCTCTCCTGTTAGCAAACCCAAGTCAGTTATGATCCTTAATTCTTAACTGGACCGTAAATACTTCAAGGCATTGGTTTATAGTGGGGATTTTCAAGGTAACTTGGGAGGTGGGGGTGGTTAGAGACACATCCATTTAATATAAAAAATGATAGACAAATTCCTCTAAGAATGCTTTCTTGACAACATTAACTGTCATCAACTTAAAGATATCTATGTAAGTCTGGAAGCACAAGATGAGTCCTTCTGTTACAGATATTTAAAACTAGATAAGAGAAGGACCTCACAGCATCCATCTGAGGATTTTCTAAAGTACTGAATATTACAGTATTCTTACAGAGCACATAATATTAACACTTGTGAATTGAAAGAGGAATGATTTAGGTTTTTGCCATCTCTACATGAAATACCTTCCTAAAATGCTATCTTTTCAGGTATCGTTATAGATCCCTTTGTTAAAACCTGTGTTTAAAATCTGTTTTGTGTCTTTTTCTTCAACTTCTGTTTTGTTGTTGGGTTAAATTAGTTCTTTCTTTCTTACGTTGACATTCAACAAGTTGCTGCATCCAGGTTTGATCAGGCAAACACCGAAGGAATTGATAACCACTGAGGACATGACCACTCACACAGGCAATTTCAGCTTCTTCCCCCACAGCATACTGGTTCTTTTCATTCTACAAAAAAGAAGCCAAAAAGTCCCTCAAAAGTCTATGGTAATGAGACTGGGCATTGTCAAAAGAAACAATGATAAAAGCCTGGTGACATGACGTAATGAATGTGTGCTTTTCACACTCTGAAATATGAGTCACCCACTCACCTATGTAATGATGTTTGTCCAGCTGCACTAACTGATGTCATGGTTACAAAACAAGGATTCAAGGACCGCTGAAATGGATTTTACCTTGCCTGTGCTTCAGTTGCTTGTGGACTTTGGTGGACTAGGATGCCACAGCATGCCACATACACAGCAACATGCTCACTAGCGTAGCAGCTAGCTTGAGTATCAGGCACATGTAACAAAGAAGCTGTAAAATTTCCCAGCTCTGCAACTACTACACTTTCTTTCTTATCACTCATGCTCACCCTGATAAAGCCATTTTCTGGTGGGTCTGGCCTGGAGCATCCAGACTCGGGTTCACTGATTAAGATGTCCTCTTCCCTCCTGGCTTCATCGTCATTTACACAAGGAGCATCTCTGAAAAGTAAAAATTTGCTGGTAAGGATGTACCTTAAACATTGGTGTCACCAAATAACAATGGAAGAATGTCAGGATCTTTGGAAAGGAATGCTGTAGGTGTGTCTCGTCTCCCCCACCCATGGTGAAAAAACTATTTTGTTAAATAAATGATGGTAGACATCAAAAGTTGCAGGCGTTGATAGGAGGGAGATTGTGAGAGTGCTAAAAAAGTGATAGACACAGGGCTACAATTTCGATTGACATAACTCATGAAGTATTTTTATAGAGTAAGAAAAAGAGGCGAAGAACAGCATACAGAGGAAGCCTCTGGGGAGTCCATGTGATTTGGTTGGGTTTAAGATAGCATAGTCAAAACCCACCTCTTGCCATCAGGCAATGGTTAAAGGAGGCTGGTGTCTGTGAGCGTGGCACTGTACAGCCTGTGGTGTCTAACTGAGATCAGTAACAAAGAACTGTGGAGCCCATTGCTTTTAATTCTCCCCTATATGCTCCAGCATCTCCTCCGTAGTCATTACAGCAGGGATGATGAAAATCCTGCTTCAGCTCTTAGTTCCAGCAGAAAAACTGAATCCATACAAAGCTGTTCTCTTGAAGATGCAAGAAACTGAGACAGTTTGGGGTTGGAGTTATGATAAGAAACCATACAAAACCAGTACATCAGACGTACTCAAAGTGGGAATATGAAAAGCTTGTTAGTTTCAGTGGATTCTCTGAGACTGAGTTCAGACCTAAACCTCTGAGAGAACAGAATGTGATATTAATAAACTGGAAACTGTGAATTTCCATGAAGGGAAGCAGATGAGTTCTCCGTGGCTTTGGACAAGAAGCTGTGCAAAGCAGTGTAAGCAATCTACAGACATATTTTATTATGGAATTCATCAGCCATTTTCTAGGAATAAACAATTAATAAATCCAAACTTGAAGAAACTTGCAAAGATTTTCAGACATTTCCTTCTGTCAGCCCCCACCACAGAAGTTCAGACAGGAGACCTGTCTGCTATTTACCCTTGGTAGTCACAAAGCCACTCTGCAGGGCTCCTTAACTCTGCACCATGACTGTGGAGATCTTTTGATCTACCATCTTCTTACCTGTCCATGAACATAGAGACATAACAGTCCTCCTCTTCTTCCCGTTCACCTTCACAAGGCTTCCCACCGTTCATCGGGGAGGGGTTATTACACTTGCGGGTCCTTCTTGTTTTGAAGGAAGCGTCGCATGAACTCCATTCAGACCAGCAACCCCAGCGGCCATCGACAGCAACTGCAACAAATAAAAATCTCATCTTCTGGTAGATCTGCACCATATGTAGTATTTGTCTTAAGGCCACATACGAGTGGGATGATGGTAAATTCATAATTACTGTTTTCAGGGAGCCGTTAAGGGAGTAGATTGTCTCTAGAATGTAAAGTTTTCCAAAGAGATGGTCAGCAAATTCCAGCTGCTTCATGAAAACCTAAAATATATCTTCCTTCCTAGTTTTGATTGCAAGTAACATACAAACTGAAAAGCAGCTTATTTTCTACTTCTATTGCACACAGAGATGTTTCAGTTTTCATAGTGCTGACAATCTTTTTAGATAGCTCAGTATTTAATGAGTTATTAAATAAACCTGAGCTCTAACACCGTATCTAAACCCAAAATCTACATCCCATGCAAGATAAATTAAAACACTACTGTCTTTTCTTCACCCCAGGTATTTTGTCTGAGTCATCATCAAGCATATATAAAAATTTTTATTTCCACACCATTTCTTTTCAGCATGCAATAAACTTTCTACATCTATTTCTATCTGCATATCTTCAATTGTTTATTTCTTTCAAAATATTTTTTTATCAGGGTCAGATAATGAGATGTGTAGCTGCCTAAGTGACTTCCCCTTCTGTCCACTTTTGGTCCTGGAATATAAATATATATAATAATAAATACAATATTGTAAGTCTCTTCTGTTTGGTACTAACGCCACACCTATGGCAATTTCATTCAAAAACCTGTTTGCATAGAATTGTTCTTTAAATTCTTCAGAACAATTATTATGTTTCCTCTCCTTAAGACAACAGAGTTTTTCTTTCACATTGTAATCAACAATTTTTATCTCCATCAGCCCATTTCATCGTAAGCATAATAGGCTATAGGGAA